TGATGTTCGCCTCTTCAGCTACGTTTATGTGAATATGAATTAGCAGTCAAACGCCACGACAACACTTCGCTTATATCAATATACACCGACAATTTTGGACATACATTCGATTAGAACAATGTGGAAATACTGGACAGCTGGAGGACGAATAACACTATAGAATTTTTAGAAGCTTGGCACTCAGGTCAATCAGCAATCAACAAACACATCGACATTGACCCAATTTATCAGCCAATCAGGAAAATCATAGGTGACATACGATCAAGAAACAGGTCAAAAGTGGGATACAATAAAAACAAAGTGTAGGGTGTAGGCAGTAACTACCAAAGACAAATGGGTGAGGTCGCGCAAAATCCCTAGATCAATCAGAGTTAGACATTAACACCGTTGGATGCCGGCCCAGTGGTCCGATGGTAAGGCGTTCGCCTACAATGCCAAAGGTCCCGGGTTCGAATCCTGCGAGGAGCAGGAGTCGTGGATGCGCACTGCTGAGGAGTCCCATACTAGGACGAAACGGCCGTCCAGTGCTTCCAGGTTTCTAATGGTGGTCTAACAATGATGATTGATTAATGATTTCAAATGTGTAAAAACAAAGTTGCAAACAACGACAGGTTTAAGGTCAACAGCAACCAATCAAGCTACAGGTCAAACGTGGAGAAATTCGAATGCTTCACTTCTGCTATCTGAAGTTTGTGCTGATGTTGTTGTTCACGAAGAAGAACAATGAAAGCTCCACAACCAAAACAACCAGCTCAGAGAACCAAACACCACAACCACAATGACTCTGAACTTATATCTATGATAGCTTTACAAACCTTTGCCAACAATGGGCTAGTCGAAAACATGCTATTATCAGCGTGCAGAAGGTTTGCTCGACTGCTTAGACTGATAGTTCGTGTGCAAATGTGCGCGGGTCGCCATACCACCAATTTACTTGACAGGTTGCAAGATATTCGAGGTAAGAGCAGCTAGCTAATCAGTACGTCGGAAAGTATCTGTCTTACGATAATCATAGCGCCACTGATGGGATGAGTGATTCAGAATACAATGATGTAGTGATATGAAGTGGCTTCGTTTACGTACAATCGATACGAGATTGTGTTATCTGCATTGTTTATCGAGTCTGATTCATTCGTCTAATACACTGATTTCGAGATCTTCTTTATCGACGTAACTCTTCACGTTGCGTGGTGTTCGACGTTAGGACTTCTCGGTAATCGTCGATAATAATCGCGTATTCTCAGAGCATCACGTTAGGAGATTGAGGGTTCGAATCACGTAGGGCTCACCATTCTAGCTGCTCACGATGTGACTTTAGGGCGAGGCGAATCGTAGAATGCAATGACAAATCATTGAAGTACATTGAATGAATTGGTAAGATGCTACATATTAAACCGTTAGTCAACTAGGAATAAACTGGAAACTAGAAATAGTTTCTTGCAGAAACTTGCAGACACTATCTAAGATAAGAGTCTGTTGTAATATCCAGGCATCGCTAAAATACAATGAATACCGTGGAATAGATATCAAGATCTTCGTCATTAACAAATTGTTGATTGGTAGAGCGAGTCTGTTTATATTTAGTTGATGTTCTAAATGAATCGTACAACTAACTAATAATAATTTTCTCATATCACGAATTATTATTTGACCAAATTATCATAAGAAAATAGTTTTTTTGAAAATCATGAATGAATCGTTGACAGACCACTCGATTAGAAACCTGAAAGCTCAGTAAGGCCGTTTCGTGCTGGTATGATGTAGTGAACGAGAACACAGGTGGGGCAACCGAATTGTATTTAACGAAAATTACAGAGTTACTCAGTAAAATTGGAAAACCATATCGTAACCGTTCGTTAATTTGCAAAATATCAGTTCATCATATCGAACTGGACTGTTCCTGTTGCAAAGCATCAATCCATTGTCACTCACGATTCATGCGTACGGCGCAGCGTACGGCGCAGCAATATCGTGAGCTCCACAGCCAACACCAACGGGCCACCACCAACCGACAGCCTCGCCAACCAGAAACTCTGCGGCGCCCTTTCCTTGTCCACCGAGGTGTCGAGCCCAGTCATCAGCTGCCCGGGGACCGTTTTCCACGCCGTCTTCCCGGCGGCACCGTCCAGGCTGTCGTATACCGCCTTCGCCTCACCTCCCCGCAGCGTCCCCAGCACCACCAACTCCGCCCCGGGCCCCACCAGCTCCACCGTGGCCTCAAACTCTTCCAGGAAGCTCCGCAAATCTCCATCCTCCAACTCCTTCGGCTACGGGAGCTCCTTCCTTCGAGCTGGCAGCGACACCAAATGCAGTAAACGAGAACACAGGTGCGGCAACCGAATTGTATTTAAGCGGAAATTACAGAGTTACTCAGCAAAATTGGAAAACCATATCGTAAATCGTTCATTTGCAAAATATCAGTTCATCATATGGAACTGGACTGTTCCTGTTGCAAACAACATCAATCCATTGTCTGACATTTCACTGTTCATGCGTTTCATACAAATTCCATTGTGTTCTAACTCTTCCTTTCTTGATCTTCCCCCATGTTCTGCTGCCAGACATTATGTTGACTGACACTCACGTCATATACTACTTATAAGTAGCTCACACCGCAATGGGACTCACTAGTAGTAGTGCGCATCCACAACTCTTACCCCCCCCCTGTGGGGTAAGAGTGAACGTGGACGTGACTAGTCTCTGAACCGCTGAGCTGGCCGGCATCCAATAATGTTATTGTCTAACTCAAATCAGTCTAATGATTTTACGCAACCTTATACATTGTCTTCAATGTTCACTGCTTAACAGTCGAACAAGGTTGACCTCCACTACTTCACTACTTCTCACTGGGACTAAGAGAAATTAGACATTAAAACCGATGGATACTGACTAAGTAGTTTAGAGTGTAGGCGTCCTCCCACAAGGCTGAAGGTTCTGGGTTAGAAACCCTGCGAATTACGGGAATCATGGATGCGCATTGCTGATGAGCTCCAAACAGGGACGAATTGTGCTTTCTGTTCCTCCCATTTTCTAATGATGGTGATCTAAAACTGATCGATTTTACGATTTCCCAAAAGTAACTTAACAATCTTCTCCACAACACTGTCGTCATGCGTTAACATTGATTTCGAAAACTCATAAGTTAGCATTGTGTTTTTACTCCAAACCTTATTTACGTAATCATTTAAACAGTTTGACCAATTCACTATAGTTGTTTTTTTTTGTTAATTCATTTCCAACTATTCAGTTTTTATTAACTAAACAGGAATTTCAACGCTGACGTCATGCAATATACATATAAACGATTATTCTTGCTATAGAATAGAAAATAAGATGTGATATGTATTTTTTTTGAATAAATCAAATGTCGGGGAGGTGAGACCCCCAGAACTCGCTTGATAAATGCTTTTATTTTGGATTTTATTCATTGGCCCATCATTTGACCTTGAGATTTCATTTCTCAACAGGAAAATCCTTGGCTGTGATTGGATGATGTGTTATTTTAGTGTGCTATTTTTGTGACTCTCTCAAGGATGTCTCAATGGTGGGTGTATAAATAAACGCGTCTTATATGCTTGAATTCATTGTGATTATTGGATGTTTGTAGAATACACCTTCTACGCTATATCAAGACTCCTCTTTAGTTAATTTGGGTCAGCGGGTCAGAGTAGCAGCCAACCTGGACGCTGGTTCATTGTCTCGTTCTAGTTTATCGACTAAGGTGAACCCGTAATAGTTTCAACCATACCTGGTGAAGAGCATAACATCTCAAAAAGAGAGATTATTTGAAAACTTTTTGTTGATAAACATAATTGTGAGTATAAGGATGATAAAGGTTTTTGAAGCTTCTTTGACGTAGTTCTAGTAACATAAATGTTCACTAAATTACCTAACTCTGCTGTAGGAAAGAACAAAGCAGTTTCCAATGGAAAAACAAATCAAGAAGAAACGGTGGAGTTGTTGAGTAGGACACACATTGATTGAGGAAAACAC